ATCATCATCTGGAATATCTTGTGCTCAAGTGTCTTCTCTGTATCATAACTTATCTTATGGTTTCAAACTTAAAGATTTTTATGATAGAGTTGAGCCCTCTGAACCCTTGAAACCTCTGAGACCTAAACTCAAACCAACCCTTCCATCTGTGATCCTTTCATATATTACATCTATGGAAAATGAAGGATCTTTAGCCCCCATTTCTGCTACATCTGGTAAAGCTGCTGTTTCAGCTCTGTATCCTGCATCTGACAACACAGTTGCATCTGATAAACCATCAAACTCTGCTTTTGTACCATACTCTAATGCAATCTTTGATGATGTTTACCAGACCTCAACCAAATCTGCTTAATGCTTTAAACATATCCCTTCCTCAGAAACCAGAAATTCCATTCTTTCCATATGTTCCCCCTCCTCTGATTTCCATTCCAAAATCATTGATACCACCAACTCCAAAACCTAAACAGATGACTCTGGAAACCTTGCTTAAACCTCCACCCAGACTTAACATTGAACATTTATTTCAAATGTTTTTGCAAGAAATACAGATGTCTTTAGGTACTGTTCAGAAAAGATGTTCTGAATCTATGGATGCAAATGAGACTGACATCATCTGGAAAGGATTTCTCAATAGATTCAACACTGTGGCTTCTAATCTGAAGAACATCTGTTCTGATGATGCAAAGCTCAGAGCTGAAAGAACTCAATTCTGGATTGTCAACAAGACTGAACCTCTGCTGTGTTTGGATGCTCCTCCACCTCCTCCTCCACCAGAACCAACTGCCACTGCATTAACTATGACTCTGGTAGAACCCTCTTCAGGATCTCCAGAACATATGGCAATTGACTCTGTCCAGGATACAGAACCTCCATCATCAGAGATTAAGACAGAAAATCCAGATTTGGCAAACAAGATTGCTGCTCTGGAAGCTGGTCAATCTGAAATCAGATCTTGGATGGCGAAGCAAGACAAGAAATCTGAGGACATGTCAGAATGGATGTCCAAACAAGATGAGAAGAATGAGACAATCACTAAGTTCATGTCAAAGCAAGAGCAATCACAATCTGAGATCACATACCTATTGAAGATGCTTTTGTCTAAACACACTTAGATTTTTTTTCTCATGTTTATGCATCTGTTGTTTTTGCATCTGTATGTTTTCATAATATCTTCTGATGTACTTTTGCTCTGTTATGATTGAATGAAACTGTTTGTTATTCTCCATTGAATTATCTGCTATTATTCTTTTTAATTGTCTTTATTTAAAAGTTTTTACTTTTTGCTTATGACAAAAAAGGGGGAGAAAATAAAGATCTGAACTATTTTAATATAATTTCACTAGAATGAATCTTCAGACATATCTATTCTTTCTAATATCTAAATTGACTCTTTCAGAACTTTTGATAAGAATACTCTATAAAAGAACCTCTGAGTTTCTCAGATCATTTATCTTTTATCAAACTCTGAATCTCATATCTGCAAGATAGTCTGACCCTTGATTATTACAAGACAAACAAGATCTGACTCTGAAGATTACTCAAGATAAAAAAGGAAGTTTCTATTCCTTTTTCATATTTAACTCAGGGGGAGATTCATCATCTCAGGGGGAGTTATAATTCTTTATGTTCAATTAAATAAAATTTCTGATACTTTTTGTCATCATCAAAAAGGGGGAGATTGTTAGAACACAGATTGGTTCTTAATAATTACTCTTTGTTTTGATGATAACTGTTAGGAAATTTATATTTAAGAACTATATACTCTAAAATTTGTTTGAGAGTTTTACTGCAGATTAAAATTATATTGACTCTCTAGAAGCAAATCTACCTTTGAATACAAGAAGTTATTCTGAATCTGAAGCGCCAGATGCATCTTACAGAAGAATTTGTTTGCTCCTTACAGAAGATCCTGAGCGTAGTCTCCAGAAGGATCTGAAGCAAGAAGCTCCAGAACATTCTGAGTCAGAAGCATCTGAAGATAGTCAGAAGCATCTGAAGATAATCAGAAGCATCTGAAGCTGAAGCATCAAAAGTATAGAAGAATATTGATTGAAGAGTTTCTCAAAGCACTTAGTCTACAGAAGTTTCTGAAAGTACTTATGCTGCCAAGTACTGAAGTTCTGTGTCAAGATGCTCTGATGATCAACACGCTAGAAGCACACACGCTGCAGAAGACTCTGATACAACATAGTTCTGAATCTCATCAGAAGACTCTGATCCATTCAGACTCTGAAGAACTTGCTGAAACTGAAGAAGTGTTTTCAAGAATGTATCCGTTGGAACCATTCAACGTCTCTTTCCTTATTTGTGCTAGACACACTTACACAGACAAAAAGGATTTATCTGTGCCATCTATTTCAAGGAAAGGTCAGTGCATGTGAAGACAAAAAGGCTCAGACCTTTTGGACTCTCTTTTCAACGTGCTTGAATCAGCTGCCTATAAAAGGAGTTTCTCACTTCATTCTTCAGTGCTACACACTTGCTGAAAAGAAATCATATATTCTATAAGCTCTCATTCTTATTCTTCATAGAATCTTATTGTACTTAAAACTTAAGAGAAAAATCACTGTTGTGATTATAGCTTTATAGAAGCATTAAAAATCTTGTATTTAATTTACATTGTTTGTAAAGGATTTTTCCTTAAGAGGATTCAGTGTGAATCAGTAGCTCTTGAGAAGACTAAAAACTGTAGTTCTTAGGTGATACTATTGTAATCAGTTTGATTTAATAGTGGATTAAGTCCTTGTTGAGAAAGGCAAATCACTCTGGAAGGGTGGACTGGAGTAGTTGTTTAACGAACCAGGATAAAAATAATTGTGTGATTATTTTCAAGTATTATTTTTCCATACTTATTCAACCCCCCTTTTAAGTAATATCTCACCTTCACAAATGACCAAATCTTTTGTGCCACAGCTCACTCTCCTTCTCAGCACATGTTGCACTAAGACATTCTGAGTCTGCAGTTCTGACATTCACCTTGAATGTTCTATTCCTTCCCTGTTCTGACTCCATAATCAACTTCTGATTGTAGTCATACAGCTTCATAAGATTATCCTTCATGGTAACTGAAAAACCTTTCTCAATTAATTGTCCCACACTCATCAGATTGCTTCTGATGCCAGGTACATACCACACGTTCTGAATCAATGTTGTTTTCCCATTGTTCAGAGTCACTCTGATATTTCCCATACCTTCTGCATTAAGATATTTGTCATCAGCACATCTGATCTTTGTTCTCTTTTCAGAGTCAAAGTCAACCAGCCATTTCTTGTTTCCAGTAAGATGATTTGAACAGCCAGTGTCCATATACCACCAGTCTATCAGATCCATATTATCAGATTCAGAAGCCATCAATAGCACAAATTCGTCATCAGAACTTCTGGCTATATTTGCTTCTTCTGATTTTCTCTCCTTGTTTGACCAACAATCTCTAGCAAAGTGACCAAACTTCTTACAACAGTAACATTTGATCTTCTTCTTGTCATACTTCTCTTTTCCCTTCTGGGCATTCTTTTGTCTATCATCGGTTGAACTTTCTGACTTCTGACCACCATCAGATCTTCTCCTGGCTTCTGACTGCTTCTGATACCTCCTATCAGAAGTTGCTTTCAGAGCCTGCTGCTCTACTTCCTTTTCAAAAGTTCTCTCAGTCAAACGCAACTCTTGCGCTTCTAGACTGCTCTGCAGCTCTTCAATTCTCATGGTGCTCAGATCTTTGGAATGTTCTATTGCTACCACAATGTAATCAAATTGAGGAGTAAGGGATCTCAATACTTTCTCCATTATTGTTTCTTCTGAAAGAGTTTCTCCACACGCCTTCATCTCATTAGTGATCAGAATCATTCTGGAGATGTATTCAGAGACTTTCTCATTATTCTTCATGTTGAGATTCTCATATTGCTTTCTCAAGGACTGAAGCTTCACCTTCTTCACTGATGCATCACCACCATAACATCTCACCAGTGTGTCCCACGCAGCCTTTGCTGTTGTTGAATCTGCAATCTTCTCAAACACATTTACATCCACACATTGATGAATAAAGAATAATGCTTTCTGATCCTTCTTCCTTACTTCCTTCTGCGCGTTTTTCTGTTCATCCGTTGCATCTGCTGCTACTGGAACATAACCATCAGTGACAAGATCTAGAACATCTTGAGCACCAAATAGTACACGCATTTGGATCATCCAACGATTACAGTTTTTACCATCAAATACTGGAAGTTTGGTGTTCATGTTGCCGTTTCCGTTCATCTTCTACCTTGCACAATACACTCAGATTTCTCACACAGTGTTTCCCAACCCACAGAATAAAATTCTGATCAGATTTTGTTCAAGATTCAACACGAATCTAAGAATCAAAATCAAACACACAAGACCTCACGTTCACTCGTGTTTCCCGTGTTTCCCAATGAATCTGAACCGGAGCTCTAGATACCAATTGTTGGTGCAAAGGTAGAATAAATGATGAAAGGTAGAAATATTCTATTAAGAATGACGACAGAAAAACATGATTAAAAGTTACAATGATTGTCACCCTATTTATAAGCTAAAACTAGGGTTACTAGAATAAGATAAAATACTAAAATACCCTCTAACAAACTTAGGGACTAAGAAAAATAGTACAACTAAATAAATATGAATTACTATTAATATTCTAATAAAAATTAAACTAATTGTGTTTAGTAAAGAATAACCCTGTTCAATTTCAATTTAAACTAAGTAAAAAAAAGATGAATAAGGTGTTTTGGTTGCATAACTTTTACCTTTTGGGTGTATTTTCACTTTTAACTTTTTTTTCTGGACAAAATTCACTTCAATTAGGAGTATCTCTGAACAGTAAAAACGAGATTTTACATTTGGGTAAAATTGGAATTTGATGTTTGTATGGGCCGAATCAGGTAGCAGCACAATTGACTTGCAATTCTGCGGCGATTTACTCAGTTCAGTCACCATCTTCAAATTTTCAGAGCTCGTTACTGTAGATCTCTGTTGTAACAACGATGGCTCTAGCTTTAACTGTTGGAGTTTTCGGTGCTCTAGTTATATTTCACGCCGCTTATTCCACCATCCAGTGTAACCACACCTTTCTATTTCTGCTTAAAGCTTTCAACTTTCGAATTCTCGTTAATTTGTTTTCATCTTACTTCATTGTAGATAAGAGCTTGTTGAAGATTACCGAAGAAGAGTTTACATCACCTCCTTTCGATGTAACCGAATTAATTAATTGATTTTGCAACTTTTTTTTAAAATTGGTTGTGTTTGGTGTTTTTGAGTTAGGGTTTTATGTGATTATCGTGATGCAGGTGGTGATTGAGCTGTTTGTTGGATTGTTGCTTTGTTTCTGGGCTGCGCTGACTGTGCCTGGGAAGTTTTTGTCCATACATCCACAATCTGATGAAAACAGGTTTCTTCTTCTTATCTATCCGTTTCTGTTTTAGTATCATTCTATTCAATTATTTAGGGTTTTTGCTGTAATTGTTTGTTTTTAGGTTGCTTTTGTTTTGCGTGTTTGTTTGGACTAGTGGATGTGAATGGTCTCTTAGAAAGATTTACTTTTATGTTAGAGAAGAAGAAATGTAGATTCTGTGGTAGGGAAGATTAGATGGAGAGAAGTCAAACAACTAGAGAAATAGGAAGACCTAGAAAGACTATAAGAGAAGTTATTCAGAGAGATCTCGAGATTAACGATTTGGATAGAAGCATGGTCCTTGATAGAACAATATGACGAAAGTTGATCCATGTAACTGACCCGACTCAGTGGGATTAGGCTTGGTTGTTGTTGTTATTGTTAGAGAAGGAAACTATAATAATGTTCAAAGTAAAATAATTCCTACAATGTACTATACCCAGCCTGAGTTGCTTGTATTGGATATTGAAAATTTGTCTGTTTTACCTTGATTTACTTCTGTCGTTTTATTTGAAGCTAGTTTTGTTCGTTGAGAATACTTGACAGAGGACTGGGGCTAAACAGTAGTAAATTAATATTCCCTCCGTTTCTCATTGACCGTCATTTTTGAAAAAATAAAATATTCAAATGGAGCGTCATTTTGTGGTTTAAACAGGGTTAATTTTTAAAAATTTCACATACTAATTGATATTAGACATTACTCTCAGCTCATTATACTCCACTACTCACTTATGACCATGATTAGACCCCAATGGTTAGTAAGAATGATATATTAAATTTGTTACACTCATGCATTCATTTATTACTTTTATTATGTGTGGAAAACCTTATATGACGGTCAAGGGTCACCTAGAAACAGATGGGGTGAAAGAAAAGAAGAAAAATAACCGGTGTTTAAGTTTTGACTTATGAGGGAATGGAAAAGTTTCACTTTATGCAATATTGTGAGAAGTTTAAAGCAAGAATAATTTGAATCCGCTTGAATCAAGCTTAGTTGTTAGGAGTTTTCTCTTTGAAAACAGATGGATATAATATTTCTAGGTAAGAAATATGAATGAACTAGCCAACATTCATTTAGTTGGGATAAAATGAAGACATACAATCTTGTTTTCAACAAATAAGATTACTTTATCGTGTAATTTGGGTATCTATGATTTTATTTATGTTCAATTTCACTTACTTCTCTTTAACTCCAACTAAAGGCACACTTTTTTAACTTTACGAATGACATATCAGTTATTCTCTGGTGTATTTTTTGCCTTATATCTATACCAAGCAAATCCTTGGTTTCCTATCATGCTATATATGAAATTGACATGTCTTCCTTGATGGTTTATGAGGATTCTACTAGTGGGGTGGTTTGCATATATGAACGCTACGTAATATCATTGATATGTTTTCATTGTATTGGCATAGTCCGTTATTTTCTATGGGGCATTTAAGCAAAGTGTGTGGTTTACATTTCACCTAATGCGTTTTTGAATCATTCCTAAAGGAGCTACGAAGCAGTGTTATCAATAGTGGATAGCGGAAAATAGATTGTTAAAATTCCGCTACGCACTACTGCTACACCACCACTATAGCCACTATTTGACCACATATAATAGTAGACAGTATGTTGCGGACAATAGCAGTTTGTTCTAATTCCTCTACGTTAAAATAGTACAGCGCCGCTATAGCTGCTATTTAACAACACTGATATGATGTTCCTTTCATTCATGCATGATACATCATAGCCTATTGTCAATTATCAGCAGCTCGGTTTATCTGACTAAAATGCTCAGTACTGACATCATTTGTCAAAAAGAGAAGGGAAAAAAAAAAGTTAAATATGCTTCAGCAGATCAAGCATTGTTCATTCCTTAGTTTGATATACATGAACAAAACTAAGTAAATTAGCATTGATGTTTTTTTTTTTTGACACAAAATTATCATTGATGTTATTTGTTAAGAGTCCCACATCGGACAATATATGGCATGAACATGTGTTTATAAGAGGGAGTAATTCTCACTCTACCAACCGGTTTTGTAGGGTTGAGTTAGGCCCAACCACATTTCTTAACACGGTATCAGAGCCTCGTTTAAGATCCGGTGGGCCACTTTATATGGTTTCCGCTATCGGGGCCACCCACCATTTATTTTCACGCTTCAGTTGTCTTGTTTTGAGCGTGAGGGGGTGTGTTAAGAGTCATACGTCGGACAATATATGGCATGAGCATGTGTTTATAAGTGGGGGTAATCCTCACTCTATCAACCGGTTTTGTAGGGTTGAGTTAGATTCAACCACATTTCTTAACATTATTCATTGTATTGACGAGGTTAATTAATTTGCAATGGACCGCGTAAGTTGTATTTGTCAGTTTTTTCATTTATAAGTCATATCTTGTTAATAGATCATTGGCGGTTGTACTCTCTCTCTTCCTTGGCAAGACTTATGCTTAAGCTGATCAAACACTGAGAACCTTCTTCACATAACCCTCTCTCTTCCTTGGCAAGACTTATGCTTAAGCTGATCAAACACCGAGAACCTTCTTCACATTAATATAAAGCAGCTTATCTGAAATTTTCTGTTTGCAAAGCTTTATAATTTCATTGTGTTCATAGTTAATGGAAGTATCACTTGTCATGGAATTATTTGGATCCTTATACCAGAATTGCTTCCGATTCAATGCAGGATTGTTTCTTTACCCGCCAACCTAGACTTCATGATCTTCAACCACCGAGGCAAAGTTTTTCCCCTGGAAACGGATTTGAAGCTGAAACACTAAGGACTCTAGTATCAACTATCAAGTGTCATTATCCCTCGTACGTGTAAGGGAAATACTGTCTCTTAATATGAAAGAATTTGAATGTGTTTGATATAATTGTTGGTTGATGTATGAAATCCTGTTGTAGCTTATGCTTATCAGTAGCTAGTACTGGCCACTCGCCCTTGTAATTTTGACAGGATTTTATTTCTTGTAGTATTTTTATGAAGAGCCAGCTTTCACTTTGACCATACTTTGATCTAATTATTTTTTGACCTTATATTAAAGGCTGTAGAGAGTAGGTTGCACATAAGATTCTTTCTAACCAGATAACACAACATGCCCCAAAGCAGGTTTCCCATTCATGTGGCATTGCATTGCCCACAACACTGAAGTTTCTCTTGGTAGTTGGGACTTTGATTGGTCAGGAGGTGGATAAATGTTTAGTATTTTAGTTGCAAGTGGGTTTTGAAACACCATGACAAAAACCAACCATACTCTTGGTTTTAGATAACTAATGAATATACAATAAATGTTATAAGTCAATTGCTTTTGGTTTGGAATTGTTTGTGATATATTTTTTTAAAACGTTCTTTGGAGCTTCTCCAATGACTCAACAATCAAGTAGGCTTAAATAAAACACGTTAGGAATATTGCCACATGCAACTGACTCATTTCTTTCTAAAAAAGGCATATTTATACTCTGGTCACTAGAAGAAAATATTGATATCCAAAAATTCTTCTCACCGCCATTCACATGATCTGCAAGACGTGTGACAGGTCCATATTTTCTCATTAGTGAAACTATTTATCACAGGTTCTGAACAACCAGCTGCAAGGTACTCCAAAATTCGGGAAATACTCGTCCCACATGCTTCCCACATCTGTGAAAATTAAAAAATGTTTCAGCAAGCCACCTAATTTTTGTAAAATTCTAGTTCGAAGATGCATCTTCATATATTTTTAGGATGACTTCGAAAATGCATTTTTGTAAAATCCTAAGAATTCATTTATGGTGTTTTTAATCATTGAGTTGGTTTATTTAACAATTCATTGATGATTTCGGAGATTCAATTTCGAAAATGTTAAACACGAAATTGAATGAAACACTTCCATTAAATTCTACTTCACACTCAATCCTTTAAAAAATTCCTACAACTCTCCATCAATTTTTCAACATCAAAATCTCATTACTGTATTTTATTACATTAAAAGGAGAAAAAGAAGCGTAATTTAAAGTAAAATCTATTGATTTCATTTTTTATTCTATGCATAAATTTGGTTTTTAAGCTGAAAAAAGAATATTGAGTAGTTTCATATGTTCTGGAGATGTATCTCCAAATTTGTTTGATATTTTGACTTTTAATTAAGGATTAATATAGAGATGTATCTTTAAATTCATCCAAATGTTAGATACAAAAATATATATTCATATTAAATTTTGATAAAATAAAAGTAATTCATCAATTTGTGTTGACGAACATGTAAGTGTAAATCCAGTGTTTTGAAGATGCACCTCTCGATTACAAAGTCAGTTGTGATTTTTTTCACTGTGTTAGAGAGTACTAGCGTCATAAAAATGAAGATCATGGCATAGAAAATAGAAAGTTCAGTATCTCTATTCAACTTGATTTCAGTGTATAAATTCAATGTGAGATGTTGACCGAAGAACTCTGGTATAAACACTGCAACATGTGATTGTCTAAATTGGCGAACTTCTAAGTCATTTAATAATAATAATAATCAAAATTGATTGATTATTATTGGTTACCTACTATTTAAGTAGTATGTAGATAATTTTTTTTATTTTTTTATTTCTAACAATCTAAATAAATATCACCTCTACTTTTATTTGGATTTTGTCTTAATAATTTTCTAAAACTTGTTCGTACTAATTATGTTTTTAATCGGATCTTCAGCTAGTAGTTACCTAAAACTTGATAATTGTAATTAAGTTGGATTTTATCATTGGACCTTTGTTTAGTACAATATTTACCTAAGAATTAATCATCTACTATTAGTATTTAACTGCCTATGATTTATTATCTTTTCACAAACATGTAATATTGTAATTTGTATTTTAAAAAAAATATTCATTTAGTTTAGTAAGTATAAACTTTTTAATCTATTGACCAACTTTACAATGCTAGCGGCAGCCTATCCAATTAATAAATGCTATATAGGAATAAGGGTGTGGCCTATACTAGTCTGGATCTTTTTGAAATCCATTCTATTTTAAATAAAAAATTGTTTTGAAGGTGTAATTCAATAATCTATTCGATAATGATATTTGAATTATTCACTGTATTTAATTATGATGTTTTTATTTATTGAAATGATTTAATTAGTGATGTTTATATATATATATATATATATATATATATATATATATATATATATATATATATATATATATATATATATATATATATATATATATATATATATATATATATATATATATATATAAATGTTAAGCGAAAAATTGGATAAAACAATTGGTGGGGAGTCTGGGAAAGTCGGGAGCACCAATGAGACTAATGCTTCAGGACTACAAGAGAGGGAGACACCACATCTAAACTCAAAACTTTAAGGTGTTAGGTAAATGAGTTATCTCTCTTATAAATTAACATTCCACCCATTCATAGACAATGTGAGACTTTAACCACTCACACTTGCACCCAGCATTCTCCCCCACAAGTGTGAGTCCCCCACATCCTATAACAAGATCCAACACCAGATCTAGCTCTCGCTCTCTTACAAAGCCGAACCACAACTCTGATACCACTGGTGGAGAGTCCGGAAGAGCCGAGAGTACCAATGAGACTAATGCTCCCGGACCACAAGAGAGGGAGACACATGTCAACCTAAAACCTTAAGGTGTTAGGTAAATGAGTCATCTCTCTTATAAATCCAACATTTCACCCCATTCATAAGCGATGTGAGACTTTGAAGAACTTGTATCCTATATAAGCCTTGTAATCTCTCTTTACTCCAAAACTAAGAGATGTGGGACTTATTCAACATGTATATTTTTAAACCCCGACAATCTCACCTTAATTGAAAATAATACATAAGCTTTCATTGTCTTCACCAATAATCATACTCCACCATAAAGAGTATTAACATGTATATTTTCAACCAATCCCAACAATTTCCTCCTTAATTGAAAATAATACATAAACTTTCATTGTCTTCACTGACAATCATACTCTACCATAAAGAGTATAATCAGTTGAATCTACACCACTCCAAGAATTTTCTCATTGTCTTCACCGATAGTCATAGTTTTAAAAACTATCATACCCTCTTGTGAATAATATATTTCACTTGAAGAAAAACGACTTCAAGAATTTCACATTGTCATCACCAAGAATCATACATTTTATCATGAATAATAAATTTCACTTGAAGTTAAACCACTCCAAGAATTTCACATTATCTTCACCGACAATCATAGTTTTAAAAACTATCATACTCCACCTAAAGAAGAGTATACTTCACTTGAAGCTAAACCACTTCAAGAATTTTCACATGTAGAAAACCAGGTTGAAACTTTATGGTGCAACTTCCTTGTTGGTAGGAAGCTCTTCAACCACCGACGTAATCTTGCACCTTGTATAATCTTGATTGTATCACTATCTCCTTGACTTGAAATATGCATATTTAAAATATGTCCTAATGAATTGATAGGGTTTCTATGGTCCAACTTGATCTGCAACTTGTATAAATAGAGGTTCCTCTTCCATTTTATTTACAAAAAGCAGAATGAATACATATCTCATTCCGCCTTTGTGTATTTCAATGGTAGAAATTCACCACTTCAATTTAGGATCTTCGAGGATATACTTCTCGTCGATCTGAAAACCAATCAGAATACTCTCTTGCGATATCCAAAAAATTGAAGATCTGTCAAGCTCGAGTATCATTCACCCTCGATTGACAATGAAAGGAAGATACATTTCACCATGTTTGAATTGAAGAAGGAATGATGATTTAAAGGTTATGTGGAGTACATTTTTAGCGTTAGTCAACAAAGGATCTGATTGAAGTGGATGCAACAATTGAAAGATCGACCGAGGATATTCTAAGGATGTTGTAATGTTTTGAACCTCTAGTTTATGATTAAATATAATGTTAAATTTATGTTAATATTAACGATTATCTATGTAATGTTTATTTTTGTTGTTAATTTATGTCATTTTTTCATTATTCTGCCAATGTGCCTGGTTGTTTTTGGTTTGAACTAACATGGCATATTCCGGAGATGTGACTCCAGAATATTGAGGATTGATACATAGATGTATCTCTGGATTAACCAAATATGCAAAATAGGGGTTCTCATTAATTTGCGCCTAGAAATGTATAAAAAAGGTGCATCTGAAGATGCATCTCCAAACGCTAGGAGCAGTTGTGCCTTTTCACAGTAGTGGGGGAGCACTCCTACGAGTGGAAATAACAACCCCCATAATTTTTCACCCTTCAAAATTTGTACATATTGTTTAGGTCATACTAAACAACTAAATTTTATTCTATTTTCTCACTCACTATATTTTCTTTTATTTTATTTTTCTCATTTCACTTTCTTCCTATACAAAAGATATAAAGATTATTTTATTGCTTTATTTTTTTATAGAACTATTTGTTGGAGTGAAGTCTCAAGTTGTCGGTTGTTTGGATGTTTGGGAAAGAAATGTTTGAGTTTGAAGTTTTAGGTGGGACAAACTCTGCGTTTTTAGGAGGAAGAACTACTTGAGGCCTTCCTTATTAAGGGGGTTGTAAGACGCGCTCAGGAAGATGCCTAGATTTTGAAGCTTGACTAGAATATGGGCTTTTTGGTCAGTTTTGCTAATGATAGTCTTTTGACTTTGTTTAGGGTCTAGGAAGGTAAGTTTGAGAGGCATTCTCTATTTGTGGAAGTCCTAAACTAAGGTGCCCTCGCCCAAGAATCATATCGCCCAGGCGATAAGTCAGAGACCCTCCAAGAGGTATCCATGACGTGTGAGTCAAGAAAGAGGGAG